CTTGACCCACCGTCCCCCTTTTCAGTCAAGCCCACTATCGCCAGGTGATACAAAAAGTGGGTTTTCTGACGCTGACGCCCTCAGAACACGAAGACTGCCATCGAGTAGTCCGCCTCGTGGCCGAGGCGCGGCGAGCTCTGCGGCGACTGGTCGGGGGTCGGCGGCCACACCTAAAGAGGACCAGGGAGACACACATAAATCGACAAAACTCCCAGATTGCCCCAATCTTTCCCCATACTTCCTGTTCCTCTTCCCGTCCTTGTCCCAACTTTCCCATACGTTCACATAACTCCGCTGACCAGGCGTGTGAAATCGGGGAGGGCCTGCTCCGTTTTTGGGGGGTGGACTTTTGGGTGAACCATCGTTTTGCTCTGGACGGAAAGGCGGGCCTGTTCCCTTACAGAAGGAAGGTTCGTTTTGTTGTTCACAGGGTCAGTTCCGTTTCCGGAGTGGGGAGAAGAAGTGGGATGAGGTCTGTTCCGTTTTCGAGGTGGGGAAGGCTCGTTTCGCTGTGAAGGGGAGGTGGGGGCCTGTTCCGACTTCGGGGGGGGGGGGGCCTGGAGAGCGGGGGCCTTGTTCCGTTTTTGGGAACGGTCCCAGAGCCGAGACAGGGCCAAGTTCGGGCCCCGGTTTCACCATCGCTCTCTGGACTGGGGCCGGGGCTGGCGCTGGGGCCAATACTGGGGCCGACCTGGGCGGTGCCCAGGTGGCCGTTGGGACGGGGGCTGGGGTCTGGGACAAAACACAGGGCTGGGGGCGGGGCCAGGGGCCGAGGCCGGGGCCGGGGGCCAGTGCCAGGCCTCAGGGCTGGGGGCCGGGGCCGGGGCCGAGCGCGGGGCCGGGGCCAGGGCCGGGGCTGGGGCTGGGGCCAAAGCTCGAATTGGGGACGGGGCTGGGGCTGGCCAGGGCCAGGGCCAGGGCCGGGGCCGGAGCCGGGGCCGGGGCCGGGGCCGTCGGCGAAGGCCGGGGCCGGGGGCGAGGGCAAAAGCCGGGCCCGGGGGCTGAAGCCGGGCCCAAGGACCGGGGCCAAAGGCCACGGCCGAGCTTCCCGAAGGTTCGCGTTCACGATGCTCCTCCTTCTCCTTCGAATCCTGACGCCAAGACGCGGCACAAAGACCCAAGTGCCATTTCCGCGAAAACCGAGTGTTTCCGCTCAGAGCAAGTCGAGCCGAGACCCCTGACATCGTACCGATTGATTTTATCATTGGGTTCTGAAAGGCATTGAGAAAAACAATCGATTGAACAAGTTATCGCAGAAATTATAACTCGACGGTTACGAATTTGAATTTAACTTGTGAGTTGCGGAATTCAACGAAATTCCACACGAAACAACAAAGTTCAACATGCGTCAGCGGAATTCAGCAGTTCACCACGAGATATACTGTTACGCATCTACGACGCGCATATACATCAAAAAGGACGGCGATATATTTGCGTTGCAGCGCAGCGAGAAACTCGTGGCCGAGATAGGAGCAGCGGGGGCATTTCTCTCGAGCGCGTCGACGGCGATCCTGCTCATCTGGGCAACGCCAGCACAAGCCTCGACGCAGAGCCTGCAATGAACGAGGAGAAAGGCGAGGGAAAACGGGAAATCTGGAATACCACATGGAGAACACGCCGCCCTTTCCAGCAAGCTGTGCGCGGCGCGTCTCGCATACAGCACTGCCATGTCCGCGTTTCCTGGGGCTGTGGGGCGCTGTCAGCTGCGGGAGAAAAGATTGAAGACGACGAGACCCAGTCCGGATCTTGACGCGAGCTCCCGCTGCAAACGCCCCGCGAGATCTGGACCGTCAAACGCCAGGACGGGTTCGTCAAGAAGCCGCGGCAAATCCGAGAGCAGGCGAACTCAAGCCTTACGTCTCCCCCAACACGAGGCGACGTCGTCTCGCCTGACCCTCCTCCGACCGTCAGCGGCAAAGATAAAGGCGAATAGCTCAGGGGCGAGCCTTGCGTATTCGTCGGGGGGCCTCGCCGACTAATTTTTCCTGATGTGCGATAGAGGCCCAGTGGTAGCGCGCCCGGGATGACAATCGATGACACATCGCGTCCAGCAATGCCACTACATGCATCCGCAATGCGATCTCCACAAGGCGAAACGCACAAGGCACGGATATGCCTGGAGATCCCGCTACTGCTTAAGAGAACCCCCCAAAATTAACAAAGTGAGGCCCATTTCCCGCCCGCCACGGCCTACCGATACGAATTCCCACCAAAGCGTATCCGCCAGAACGGGCTGGTGCCATGTAGGAACCCCGATGGCCCCGGCGGCCGACCCCCCCAATCCAGCAAGCATCCAACCGGGTGGGGAAAAAGGAGAAGAGGGGAAGGGGAACCGAGCGGAAATGAAGCGAGGTGAGAGCGTGACATTGGCCTTTTGTGTGCACCCCCACATGGCCCAACCGACCATCCGCAAAAAAAGGCAGCACACCGGAGGAAGAACAGTGCGCAGTATTGAATGCAGGTTGCAGCCACCCGCGGCTGCTAACCAAGGAGGGGATCCCGAGGAGGTCCAGACGACCGCAGCACGTGGGCGGAAGCAAGAAGAGACAGAACGACAAGACGCGGACGAGGAAGGAAAGGAGGGTGGCGGAACAAAATAGCGAAAACGCGGGAGGCTCACGAGTAGGCAATCAGCTGGGCGCACAGGTAACAATAGCGGAAGTTCTGGTAGCCAACCTGGAAGGGTGGAGGTCGAAGGGCGCCTGTGCCTTGTTACCGTAGTGCTGGGAGTTTGAAAAGTGAAGCTGCCAGAGTCTAATATCCAGTGGGCCTCCCAGAGCAGGCATCTGAAGGCTTTTCCGTACACGAGCTTGCCCAAGTCATAGCGTCGGACTGGCAGAAGCCACGGTCGCCCGCGTAGGCACGTCACGCTGAACTGCGCAGGTGATGGTGGCTTCGACGTGTCAAGAAAACAAAATGAAAACAATGTGTCTGACCTCTTACCGTCAACATTCAGTGTGTGTGTGTGAATGTGTGCGCGTGCGTGTGCGTGCGTGTGTGTGTTTGTGTGTATGTGTAAATGCGTGTGTGTGCGTGAATGTAAATGTGTGTCTTTACGTGTGTGTGTGTGTGTGCGTGTGCGAATGTGTGTGGATGTGTGTGGTGTGTGCGTGTGCGTGTGCGTGTGCGTGTGCGTGTGCGTGTGCGTGTGCGTGTGCGTGTGCGTGTGCGTGTGTGCGTGTGTTTGTGTGTGAATGAGTGCGTGCGTGCGTGCGTGGGTGCGTGCGTGTGTGTGTGTGTCTGTTTGCATGTGCGTTCGCGTGTGCGTTTGCGTGTGCATGTGTGCGTGTGTGTGCGTGCGTGCGTGCCTGCGTGCGTACAGGGGTGCTTGCGTGCGCCCGCGTGCGTGCGTGCGTACGAGCGTGCGTACGTGCGTCCGCGTGAGTGCGTGCGTGCGTGTGTGGTGGGGTTAATTACGGCGAAGGGAGGGCGGAGTGGGGGAGAGGGGAAGGGGGGGAAGGGGAAAGGGATATATCTAGAGAACCCCGGATCGGCGGCACTGGCCGAAGGCCACTACAATAAACGTCATTGTGTGTTTGAAGCGACCAGGGGATTTGAGCTGGCTGGGACTCGAGAAAACTGGTCAAGGGGGGGGGAGACGAGGCCACATCCGCACTAAGCGCTCCGTGGACCCCATCCAGGTACCATCTGATGCAATTTGTCATCCCGGATCCGTTTTTCACTGCCCCGGGGCCCGAAAACGTGCCCCGGACGCCGAATTATACAAAAAAATCGTCGAGACCAGAACCTCGAACCTGCCAGCCCTCCCTGCTGGCCGGCTCCAACCTTTTCCTCCTCTGATCGATCATCGACCCTCGACCACTCCTCGACCAAACGGAGAGGGCCGTGCCCTCCGCACGACCCGCCAACAGCATCGGCATCGGCATCATCCGCAAGCCCGCCGCCTCCCCCTGGCCCAGCTTGCCAGGCCTGGTGCCTGGGTCCAGTGAGATATTTTTGTTTTTGTGCCTAGTTTTAGGGGGAAAACAAACCTCCCTCGCTTTTGACCACCCTCGCTTCCAAGAGATACCAAACGATGCCAAATTGCAGCCTGTACTGGTCAGGCCGCTTGACGAGGAGGCGTGTGGTATGACTTGGTTATGCCTGGAAGCGAAAGCGGGGGAGGTAATTCACGCTCTGAAGTTTGTCCCTCCCGGATACCTCCGCTGGCTCCGACGGGAGCTCGGGCTCGTCCTCCGCGGGCTCCGCGGCGGCCCCCGCCGGCGGAGTGCACAGGGCCGCGCGCGGGGGGAGCTGCTTGGGCGGCGGGGCGCCCTCGCGGAGAGACAAAAAGCAGCACGAGCACAAGCTCGGCCTGCCGTCGTCGCCGTCGTCGTCGCCGTCGCCGCCGCCTCCGCCGCCGCCGCCGCCGTCGCCGCCGCCGCCGCCGCCGCCACCGCCGCCATCGTCGTCGTCGTCGTCGTCGTCGTCGTCGTCGTCGTGCTCGTCGTCGTCGTCCAGCAGGTTCGTGTCGTGACGACCCCCAACGTTGGTTTATGACACCGCGGAGACCGTTCAACCTTGAACGATCGGCCGGTTCCGAAACGTCAGATCTTTCAACATCGACCGATTCTGGGTCGCTGGCGGCATTACACGTTGAAAGCCAGCGGCGGGATCGCCGCAAATCGACAAGACGAGAAGCTGCCGTGAGTTCTCGGAGCTCCGCGCGGATCTCTTAGACCAGCGCTGGGCACCACTTCGCGCTCCGCGCGCGAGGGGTGGCGCCAGAGGCGCCGCCAGGGGGGGCTCAACGCTGATCCGAGAAATCTGCGCGGACCTGGGAGAAATCATTCGACTGTTGCTGGAAGTGCTGCTGGCCCAAGGTATCCCCAGGATTTCCAGGGACACCCCCGCGGCCTCCAGAGAACCCACCACGAAGCCCAGAGGGCTCCAGGGCTCCAAAATTGAGCGAGCACATTGGGCCAGGGGCACCTCTCGGCGACTCCGAAGGGTGTGGTTTGCAGCGGGTGCGATTTGCAACCTGCACCGGGGGGGCCGGGCGAGGGCCTCGACAGAGTTCTCCGCCGCGCCCCGAGGCCCGACGAGGGCAACGTGGTGCCCCCCCAAGTCCCAACGACGCAGATCGCAGACCACACCCCAGCGTAACCCCTCCCCTCGAAACATGCTCATGCCGTCTGTTGCTCCCCGGCCTCGTCCTCGAGAGCCAGGGCCTCCGGCCAGGGGCCCTCTAGGACAGCTGCTCGGTCCAGGGCGCCCTCGCCCGCGGCCTCGTGGGCCTTGCGTTGCCGATCGCGGGGGCTGGGCACGGTCAGGATGTCCTCTATGGGGGGCAAGTGGTACCAATACCGCTACTCCCCAGACCTCTCCCAGGGTGCGTTCTGACCAGAACGTCGACGCGAATCCAGCCGTGGCGACGAGCGGAAAGGCGGGAGCGAGGGAAAGGTGGCGGTATCGGTACCTTTCCCTCCTCTGATCCTCGAGGGCGTCCCCGGCGGCCAGCGACGGTCGCAGCTCCAGGAAGAGCTGCGGCCGCGACGGCGGCGGCGAGCACAACTCGAGGCCCTGCCACTGGGGCTGCCGTTTCCCGCCTCGCCTCGGCGAGCCAGGAGGACCGCCCCGACTGGGCGTCGGGGCGTCGCTGGCGTCCAGGATCTGCACTTCCTGGCTGTCCTGCGGGTCGGCTGCCCACGTCAGGCCCATGGGCTCGACGGGGCCGCCCTGGGCGTGCCTGGCGGTCAGGATGGCGCTGCTCTCCGCAAGCCTCACGGCGCTCGTCACCTGCAAGTGCGTGGGAAGGAGGCCCAGGCTCTGGGCCAGGTGCGCGAGGTTATGCCGCTGCATCTCGGGCAACCTGGCGGCGATGTGGTCGGATATGGTCCTGAGGTGATCCGACGTGTGCGAGGACTCCTGTCTGCAAGGAGGGCCCCTCGGGCCGCCAGCCTTTTACGGACGAAAACCGGTATCAAACAATATGTTCCGTCATCGGGGACGACTGTCCCAGGGCGGCTGGAAAATGTATGCCCCGGCGTGCCACCGTAGGGGATTCAATGTTCAAGCCGGCCTGGGTCAAGAGTGCCCGAATGGCGGATAAGTCTTTCATTTTCCAATTAGGGATTGTCGAAGGGGTTCGGTGTGTTCGCGGGGCCTTTCGTCGGAGGCGGCCCTCGGCGTAACGCGGAGTTGATCGGGGTTGACCGGGGTTGCCCGTGCAACGCAAAGGAAGGCGAAAGGAAGCCAAGCAACGTCCAGCAACGCAATGCAACGCCGAGCAAAACAAAGCAATACCAAGCAAAGATCCCAAGCAACGTCAAGCAATGCCTAGCAACGCCAAGCAATACAACGCAATGCCAAGCAACACCAAGCAATGTCAGGCAATGCCAACCAAGACCGAACTATACCGAACAATATTTCGCATTGCAGTGCTCTGCGTTTCCCTGAACTGTGTAGACTCGCTTCGGGAGAAAGAAGACCCCAAATTGGGGCCAAGCTGGGTTCACCGTTTTCCGTCCGCTTAGCCTTGATAGCGACCCCACGAAAGAGGGTGCAGAGTGATGGCGGCTGGAAGCTGTCTAGCTTGTTCATGCTCTCCCTCAAGATGCTGTCGAAAAAGCTGAGGCCGTCCACCTCTGCTAGCGTGTAGGCCTCCACCATGCACGCCAGACCTTGCGAGGTGAACTCCTGTCGGGACGGACGACGAGGGGGTATGGAACACATTTGCATATTCGCGACCATAACGGACGTTATGGGGGAATGGGGGGCGAGCATAACGTAACGCCGCCCCCCCCCACCGTGTGACTCCAGCACCACAGCGCCTGTAAGCATCACAGCAAGCACCACAATGCGCAGCGCAGTATGCACCGCCGCATCCGCGTGCACCGCATCGCCTATGAGCGCATAGGTGCAGTACCATTGTTTTGTTCCCCCGCACTCTCTGTCGAACACAATTATGTACAAGTGTTTGCTGGGCGACGAGGGCTCCCGAGCGCCGACCGACGACGACGACAACAAGATCGACGACGACGAAGACGAGGACGAGCACGGGGACGACGACGACGACGACGACGACGAGGAAGAGATCGAGGACGAGGAGCAAGAGGACGAGGACGAAGACGACGACGACGAGGACAAGGAGGCCGACGACGACGACGAACGTCTCTGAAGGTCTCCAGAGGTCTCCGAAGCTTGACGAGGCTTCCAGGAACTTCTGGAGGCGCCTGGAGGCTCTTCGAGGCCCTCGGCGACGATGACGAAGACGAAGACGAGGACGAAGACGACGACGACGACGACGACGACGACACGAACGACGAGGACGACGACAACGACGACGCCAGGCACGAAACGAGGATGGGGACGAGGACGACGATGACGACGAGGACGAGGACAAGGACGAGGACGAGGACGACGACGACAGGGACGAGACGAGGACGGGGACGGGGACGACGATGACGACAGGGACGAGGACAAGGACGAGGACGAGGAAGAGGACAACGACGAGGAAAAGAACGAGGACGACGATGATTAGGACGACAACGACGACGACGAGGACGAGAACTAGTACGAGGACAGGGACGAGGACGAGGACGACGACGACGAGGACGACGACGACGTCGAGAACGACGACGACGGCGACGACGACGACCACCGCCGCCTCTGAAGGTCTCTGGAGGTCGCCAGACGTCTAAGGAGGTCTCCGGAGACCTCTGAAGGCGTCTGAGACCCTTCGACTTCGGCGCCCGGAGGCGGGGCCAAAATCAGCTGCCAGCAGCAGATGTCGCCACAACAGCGATGGGCACGAGCACGAGATCATTCGCTAAAGACCAACGGATCCATGGATATGGCCCACACGAAAAAAAATGTTCGTCGGCGGCCACTTGGATCCAAGGAGCGGTAGGGCAACGGTGAGACGCAACGAAGCAATTTACGGGGCAGACTGGAGAGAGGAAGAGCGAAGGGACGAAGGGCACAGAAACCAAAACGATCAACATTTTTTTGATTCGCGGATCGAGAGCGCACCTCTTCCGGTCGAAGCTAAGCGAGCCGCGCGAAGCTTGAATTAAAAGGAGGGGGAGGACAGGGGGAGGGCGCAGCCTCAGAGCGAGGCCGGGGAGGCAAAGCCTCGGGATCAGGCGGCGCCGAAGTCGACGTACTTGCAAAGGCGCCCAAAACGGTAAACACTCCAAGGCAGAAAGCCAAGCAACGCAGAACATCAGGGCACCCCATCCAAAACTGAGCCTGCTCTGGACCCTCGTGCCAGCTACAGCCCCGCCTTCCGTCCAGCCCATTCCTCGGGGATGGCCTGGCGACGGTGAGTCGCCAGCTTCCCAACTGGGGCACACAGGACTCCACGAGACCGGCCAGCACTGCCCCAGTCCACCGATCCGACGCGTGAGTGTGTGAGAGCAGTGGGCTTTGAGCTCGCTCACACCTCGCTCCGGAGAAGGGTGGGGGGGGAACGAATTCCTGCGCGATTCAAGGAACGCACAAGCTCTGGAGAGAGGGGGGGGGACGCTTCGCTCTGAAGAGGGGGGGTGTCCGCCGATCCGGCGTGTGAGTGTGTGAGAGCGCGGGCTTGAGCTCACTCACGCTTCGCTCTGGAGAGGGGGGGGCGAATTCCAGCGCAGTTCAGTGAACGCACAAGCTCGAGAGGGGAGGGGGGGGGCGCTTCGCTCTGGAGAGGGTAGAGAAGGGGGGGGGGGAGGGAATTCCAACGGAATTCACTGAACGCACAAGCCCCCCGGGGGGAGGGGGGGCGGGGGACGAATTCCAACGGAGTTCACTGAACGCACAAGCTCTGGAGAGGGGGGGGACGCTTCGCTCTGGAGAGGGGGGGGGACGAATTCCAACTCACTGAACGCACAAGCTCTGGAGAGGGGGACGGGGGGGGGACGAAACCCCACACATATCCACTTCCCTCTCTCCGAGAGGCATCTTCTTCTCTGACCCTCCACCCCGGACAGCCCCCCCCAAAAAAAGACCCCCCCCCTTCCAGGACAGACCCCACCACTTTCCGACAGACCCCCTTCCCCCCTCTCCGAACAGATCCCCCCCTTCCCGCCCTTCTCTCCACCCCCCCCCTTTCTCCGACAGACCCCCCCCCTAGAACAGCAGCAAAAGCAGCAGCAGCAGCAGCATCAGACCCCCCCTCTGTTTCTTGACAAGTCTCTTCCTCTCTCCTGCAAATATCTTCCCTCCCTCCCCGACATACCCCCCCCTCCAGGACAGACACTCCCTCCCCTGGCCCCCCTTCCCCACACAGACCTCTCCTGCTTCCAAACCCGTCCCACGTCCTCTCCGACCCCACCCTCTCTTCTCCGACACACTTGCTCTCCCTTCCTCCGATAGACTCCCCCCCTCTTCCCCTCCGCCCCATACACCGACGTCTCGCGCTTTTACACCCCCCCTCCCCCTCCAGAACAAAACCCCCCCCTCCGACATATCCCTTTCCGTTCTTCCGCTTTCTCTCCTGTACCCCCCCCCCTCCAAGACAGACCCCCCCCCTTCCGACATATCCCTTTCCGCTCTTCCGCTTTCTCTCTTACAGACCCCCCCCCCCGCTCTCACAGACACCCCCCCACTCCGACAGACCCCTCCACCCTCCAGGACAGACCTCACCTCTCCGAGAAATCTCCTTCCTTCTTTCCGACCGAACCTCTCTCCTGTCCTGGACAGACGCCGCCCTCTCCCCCTCACTTTCCCCGCCCCTTCGGCGAACACCCCCTCCCCCAACAGCAAACCCCCCTCTCCCCTTCCGACATATCCCTTTCCGCTACTCCGCTTTCTCTCCTACAGAGCCCCCCCCGCTCTCAGACACCCCCCCCCCCCACTCAGACTGACCTCCCCCTCCAAGACAGACCTCACCTCTCCGGGCAATCTCCTACTTTCCGACAGAGCGTCTCTCTGGTCCTGGACAGACCCCGCCCTCTCTCCCACAATCCCCCCCCCTTCGACAGAACCCCCCCCCTCCCCCAACAAGAGCAGCTCAAGCAGCAGCAGCAGCAGCAGCAGCAGCAGCAGCAGCAGCAGCAGCATCAGCAACAGCACCAACAGCAGAACGAGCAGCCTCAGCTGCACTACTCTGCGCACAGCCACAGACGCATCCCAAACGGCCCGCGACGATTCGCAGGCATAGCCCGTCTGTTTTAGGACAGACCCCACCCCCCTCCGACAGATCTCTTCCCTCCTCCCCGACAGCCCCCCCCACCCACCCAGGACAGACCCCCCCCATCCAACTAACCCCTCCCCCCAAACAAAAACAGCACAAACAACAACAACAACAACAACAACAACAACAACAACAACAACAACAACAACAACAACAACAACAACAACAACAACAACAACAACAACAACAACCACAACCACAACCACAACAACAACAACAACAACAATCATTTTACCCGAACGCTCAGTGTTCTCACCAGTGCCAGGGTTTTCATAGGAGGCGGGCAATACCCCCACTTTGTGGGGGGGCCGGTTCAAGCTCTACCAAATTTCCAAACGACTCTTCGCCACCACCCACACCCAGCTTCCCGCCCTATGACGTTCGGACACTTCACTTCGTGGCATGCGGACGACCGTGGCTACTACACTGGCGCATGGTTTCAAGACTTATTTGACATGTGTCCCGCATGGTATTATTTGACAGGGATGATGGCCCTGGCAGGTGCGCAACCGTTGTTGCAGAAGTTCGAAAAAGTTGCTCGCAAAAGCCCGTTTGACAGAAATGTTTAAAAAGTGTTGGGTTTCCTACGAATCCGCAAGAGCGCGCGGGATGAGATTTTGACATTTTTTTGTTGAAAAACCATTGTTTTTTGATGTTTTTATGTTAAAATCGTTACGAACACTAAGGTTTTGGAAGGATTTCGTCTTGCGCGCGCGAATGTCCACTTTACCTTATTTTTTGCAAGGGATTCTTGAAATTTGATTATATTAGAACAAGAAATGTCATTTTATAGTGTTTTTTGCAAGGGAAAGCGGGGGGGAACAAAACAACCGGATCTTGATCACATCGAATTACCTGAGGCTTCCTCACGAAAATGATGAAAATGTAGCTGCGGCCTAGGCGGCGCAGGGGGGCCGTGCACCAGGGGCCCCAACAATAATTATTCTTTAGAATTAATAATGTTCAACAACAATCACTTTACCCGAACGCTCAGTGTTCTCACCAGTGCCAGGGTTTTCATGCGACGCCAGCCAATACCCCCACTTTGTGGGGGGGCAGTGCAAGCTCTACCAAATATCCACACGACTCTTCGCCACCACCCACACCCAGCTTCCCGCCCTATGACGTTCGGACACTTCACTTCGTGGCCTGCGGACGACCGTGGCTACTACACTGGCGTGGAGTACACACCCACAGAAGTTGTTAAGCCTACGTTCGTACACCCACAGAAGTCCCACCAGCCCTTTAGGGCGTAGGTGGTCTAGAGCGTTTCCTCTGCCAACCCCCCTTCTTTCCCTTCGGGGAGGGGTTTACCCCTCCCCTTACCCCTCCCCACTGACCTGGACGAGGCGTCTCGCGAGGTGTCAGGGCGCCCAAGATGGCTCAAGACGGCTCCAAGAGCGAAAAAGCGAGAAAGCACAAAACATTGATTCTACCTAGGTTTTGGAAGGATTTTGGCCTCTTGGGGGGGCCCAAGAGGCGCTTCGAGGCACTCTAGAGGGGCAACCCTAATTGG